CTTAATTTGAGGGAAAATTTGTTTATGTTGGTTTTATATCCTAGATTGTCACCTGCCAGGAGACTTAAATCATACTGTGGAGGGCCCAGTGAATTAAATCTTTGATGTGTTTGAGAATAACACTGAATCTGCTATATTCATGTATAGTAAGGTCAATAAATGGGTTAGTTTGACGAGTTCTAATTTTCACAGCCTCTTACTATGTAACGTATAGACGACATTGTGGGCTAATCCGAGACTCACTCTTGAAGTGCAATTGAATTCCTTCCCCAAAAAAATAACAAAACATGTAGCATAGTGCAATCCGTCGTAAAAAACGATTGATACATGACGGTTAACACACAAATGCTATTTCTGTGTATGTAAATATCATTCACCAGGGCTCTCAGCTTTATTAATACATCTTGCCATCTATTTCATAGATTCCAATGAATATTCAGTAAGTAATTTCAGCTCCTAGGAGATGTTAACATTCTTTAGAGCTTTCAAAAATGTAAACAGTAAATGGTTTCTCACATGAAAAGAATTGATTTCCTATTTACAGGTGATTGATGGCTCAATGTAAATGCCTTGAACAGAATTCAGTTTTTGTATTGATGTAAACAAAACCTCATTTAGAAAAACATTTTGCTGATACTCAGATAAATTTTGAGTTGATTATGAGAGAACAGAAGTATATTTTACATGTAGAATTTTATCATGTTGTGTGTTCTTCTGTTTGAGATTTTCCTTGATTGATCCCTTTTTAAATGACAAACCATTCACATGACAGGAGATGTCGGCAAAACTTCTTTAAACAATATCTATAAGAAGTTGTCGGAAAACTTTTGTCAGAATTTATAATCCTAAGTACCAGTTGTTATCTCTGACTGCTTGTTGTTGCTTATAACTATTACAATAGGATTGAACCAATATTGATTTGTGTGCTGAAATGGTCAACACTAAAAATCTGTATGGTTTGATACAGATCAAAGTAATCGGTACACTCAATCAGTGAGTGATTGGATACAAGCTGTAGAAACTTGTAGTAAAATACATACTGTTGTTCATCACAGTAAAAATATAGGCTAGACGATACTATAATTGAGATTTTTTGATGTCTTGGAATCCCTCTCTTCATCTTCTTTGATCGCTACAGTTTACTCAGCTGTATAAATAGGTACATCACTTATTCTATGGATCATTTTAAACTACCACTGAACCAAAATGTAGATATTGTAAAGCCCAATCACGTGTGTTACTCTTATGGTTCCGTTCTGTCTGTTTTTACAAATCGTATAAAAATTTCATCATTCCATTTAGATGATACTGGAAGTATGTTCTTTCAGTTGTTAAAACAAATATCATCAAATGCACCCTAAGTTACTAGCCTATCAGGCTCCTAACATGAGAGTGCAGATTTATGCTATGCTTGTATCTGTAATTGCTGTACTGACTGGGGGTAATTTAGCACTGAGCTTCCCCTCTTTATTGGGGTAGGAAATCTTGCTATACATTGGCACACACCGGTACCTGTGTAAAATAATGAGGTAAATAAAGTTGGATTTGATTGTATAATGTTCAAGTTGACAGTGATGCAGTATCTAGAGAAGTGTTTTAAGTCAGAGTGCCTAAAAGTCAACTCCACCAGCAAGAACTGTCAGAACATTTTTGTTTGTCTTATATTTTCATAGGACAGAAGATCAGTTGTTACAACAGTAAAGTTTATATCTAGATTATAGAAATATTCATTCTTTGGAATCAATGTTAGAGCACATACTTTCATATACTCTTACTGTTTGCTCTGTTTCTTATACATGAAAGACATTCAGAACATTTATTGGTACAGATCCATGGATATCAGTAAAAAGGCTTGCTGTCAGAAAAAAAATAAAACTTTTTTATTTTTGTAACCTTTTTATTGGTCTGTATACCATAAAAATTGAAAAAAAAAAAAAGAAAATGTGTAAAATTTTAATTGAAAAGCCGTTTTTCTATGCTAATTTGTCTCGTGTATAATTCACACACGGGAATACTTTATGTTGCATTTTGTTTCTGTTTATTGCACAGACCACTTCTAATTGTGTTGCAGTGTTGGAATTCCTATAATAGAACACTTCATGGATTGTTCAGACCTGTTATCTAATTACCGATTATTTCTCTATTATCCTCTGGCAGATCTAGTATATGTACTGGTAAATAATTTACCTATTTCCTTTGTAATTTGATCTCCGTGGGACTCTAATATGCATAGAATTAATTATTTATTTAAATTCTCATACAATTAAGTACTAATGTACTTTTGTGTTTTACTTGTTTATTGTTTGGTGAAGCATTGAAAGTAAACAGATAAATAAATACTGATAACAGGTACACTTCAATATGTATTTGAAGTATTAAGCTAAGTTTGATAAAACAATGTTTTGTTAAGGCTGTATGGTGCCATCTATTTTGCAATGGCGAATTCTGTTTTTCAAAAAAATTCTGTATTAAGAAATGAGTGAAAACATATCTTTAAAAAAGAACTGGATATAAATAGGTATACATTTTTGATAAATTGATGGATTAATTAATTAGTTACTGTTAATGTGGAAACATATACCCAAAGTACACAAATCACAGGTGTAATGTGGAAACATATACCCTAACTACACAAATCACAGGTGTAATGTGGAAACATATACCCTAACTACACAAATCACAGGTGTAATGTGGAAACATATACCCAAAGTACACAAATCACAGGTGTACACAAATCACATGTAATGTGTAAACATATATATACACAGGTGTAATGTGTAAACATATACCCAAAGTACACAAATCACAGGTGTAATGTGGAAACATATACCCAAAGTACACAAATCACAGGTGTAAGGTGTAAACATATACCCAAAGTACACAAATCACAGGTGTAATGTGGAAACATATACCCTAACTACACAAATCACAGGTGTAATGTGTAAATATATACACAAATCACAGGTGTAATGTGTAAACACATACCCTAATTACACAAATCACAAGTGTTATGTGTAAATATATACACAAATCACAGGTGTAAGGTGTAAACATATACCCAAAGTACACAAATCACAGGTGTAATGTGTAAATATATACCCTAACTACACAAATCACAGGTGTAATGTGTAAACACATACCCTAATTACACAAATCACAGGTGTTATGCATAAATATATACACAAATCACAGGTGTAAGGTGTAAACATATACCCAAAGTACACAAATCACAGGTGTAATGTGTAAACATATACCCTAAATACACAAATCACAGGTGTAATGTGTAAATATATACACAAATCACAGGTGTAATGTGTAAGCATATACCCTAAATACACAAATCACAGGTGTAATGTGTAAATATATACCCTAACTACACAAATCACAGGTGTAATGTGTAAACATATACCCTAAATACACAAATCACAGGTGTAATGTGTAAACATATACCCTAAATACACAAATCACAGGTGTAATGTGTAAATATATACACAAATCACAGGTGTAATGTGTAAACATATACCCTAAATACACAAATCACAGGTGTAATGTGTAATGTGTAAACACATACCCTAAATACACAAATCACATGTGTAATGTGTAAATATATACACAAATCACATGTGTAATGTGTAAATATGGGCTATGTACACAAATCACAGGTGTAATGTGTAAACATATACCCTAAATACACAAATCACAGGTGTAATGTGTAAATATATACACAAATCACAGGTGTAATGTGTAAATATATACACAAATCACTAACTACACAAATCACAGGTGTAATGTGTAAACATATACCCTAACTACACAAATCACAGGTGTAAGTTGTAAACATATACCCTAAATACACAAATCACAGGTGTAATGTGTAACACAAATCACAGGTGTAATGTGTAAATATATACACAAATCACAGGTGTAATGTGTAAATATATACACAAATCACAGGTGTAATGTGTAAATATATACACAAATCACAGGTGTAATGTGTAAACATATACCCTAAATACACAAATCACAGGTGTAATGTGTAAATATATACCCTAACTACACAAATCACAGGTGTAATGTGTAAATATATACCCTAAATACACAAATCACAGGTGTAATGTGTAAATATATACACAAATCACAGGTGTAATGTGTAAATATATACACAAATCACAGGTGTAATGTGTAAATATATACACAAATCACAGGTGTTACAATTTGTAATCATTTTGTACAAAAGTTCACATTCACAGGGCATACTACAAATCAAATTAATTAATGACAGACAACAGCTTGTAAACCCTTAGGAATGTAAATGGTCCTATTTTATACTAAAACTGCATCTTTGTTTGTTTCATGCCTCTGTACTGTAATGTTTGTATGCATTTGTGTTTGTTTCCTGCACATACAAGTTGATTACATAACAAGTGTTATGTAATTAAATTGTTGACTTATTCATTAAAGCTGTCAATAGATGCTTATGTGTTTGTGTGGGAGGATGCACATATGCTTGTGTGATTGAATGCACATGTGTTTGTGTGGGAGGATGCACATGTGTTTGTGTGATTGAATGCACATGTGTTTGTGTTGTTGGATGCACATGTGTGTTTGTGGTTAGATACACATATTTTTGTGTGTTGGGTTGACATGAGTTCATGTATAAAATATGTTTTTTGTATTAAAAAAGTAACTCTTTGTGCATGATTACATTTATTTTCAATGGATGTCTAGAAAGTTATTACTTTGGATTATTTTCACACGTAATTTTCCTATATAAAAACTTCTCATCTGAGAGTGTAATAAAATGAACATTTAAAAAAAAAGAAAAAAAATTTTTGACAGAAGAATTTGATATTAAAAAATTGACTGGATTAGATCAACAAAAGTCATCATCACATTCAGTCATATGACTTTAGGCTGCACTGTTGTTTCTTTACATGTTTACCAAAGTATTAATTAATCATGAAAGGAGGAGTTTTACAGAAACATACATACATACATACCTTGTGTGATGGAGACAGTTCCAGTAGTATTGGTATATAATGTACATTTGATTCCCAGGCCACTGGACACTGTGTGTAACGTATCATAACACTCCAGTAGATTCTCCGTCTTCTCTAGTAAACCTTTTCAATCATGTATTTTCCAAAGGTTGGACTATATATAGAAGAGAGGGCATCCCCCTTAGAATACAACGGAGGAGATATCTTCTCCAGGGTAACCACTGAAGGTTTTGTAGGTCTGTGTAACATTGTACACATGACACTGATACTCCATAGAGTTTATGAGGGAAGCAGGCACCTCTGAAAATGTAATTATAAATCCTCTCGGACTGCTGCAGTGTTGACCGGGTGTTAATTGGAGTGGTAAATGATTCTTTTTACATTTACATGGAGTGAATACCTGTGATCTACTGTTGAAAAATTCATTTGTTTTGAATAACATTAGATTGCTGCCTCTATTGTTATGACTGGACAGGTAACGTGTGCTCCACGTTCAAGTGATTGGATCTGGATCAAGAGTTGAGACGATTTGTCCTGTACATATAGCTGTTGTATATTGTACACATGTGAAATACACCTAGAATCTCCAGCTAGTCTTAAATACCTCTGACAGAGGAGAGTAGGATTGGTACAATCCGTTATAAACTCATTAAGTTTGGATTTATACCTGTGAACACACCAGTAGAGGAGAAAGGCAAAGATAGGTAGAGATACGCTCACAGTCTTGGGATTATTGATGTCCGTAGCAGTGCGTATCAGTATTAAATGATCACAGAATCGCAAAAACACTCTCGCCTCTGATCATGCTCTCTAAAAAGCTGCACAGCAAACAGTCTTCTGAGAGCCAGGTACGGTTTGACATGACGGAGAAAGTGATGACTATGGGGGAGGAAGAGGCCTTTAAAATGAGGGCCGGGAGGAAACGGCACAGTGTACAGCTGGACAAACGCATCACACAGCAGTTACTGCAGGCTGACAGGAGGTCCAGTAATGCCAGCTCAACAGGGGAGAGTGTTGAATCCCTATGTAAGTTACAGAGTAACAAGAGAGAGTTTTGACCTCTGTTTAAGTAACAGGGTAACAGGGTAACAGGGAGTGTGATGACTCCCTCTGTAAGTTACATGTGTACAGGGGATCATTTGTGTTGACCCATATGTAAATCACAGGGATATAGAAAGTGTGTTGAATCCTTATATAAGTTACAGGGATTACAGGTGTATTGACCCCAATGTAATTTACAGGATTACAGGATTTTTTTGGTGTTTACCCTGATGTAAGTTACAGGAATACATGGTAGATAGTTGGGTCCCTATGTAAGTTACAGGGCTACATGGTAGATAGTTGAGTCCCTATGTAAGTTACAGGGCTACATGGTAGATAGTTGAGTCCCTATGTAAGTTACAGGGACACATGGTAGATAGTTGAGTCCCTATGTAAGTTACAGGAATACATGGTAGATAGTTGAGTCCCTATGTAAGTTACAGGAATACATGGTAGATAGTTGAGTCCCTATGTAAGTTACAAGGCTACATGGTAGATAGTTGAGTCCCTATGTAAGTTACAAGGCTACACGGTAGATAGTTGAGTCCCTATGTAAGTTACAAGGCTACACGGTAGATAGTTGAGTCCCTATGTAAGTTACAAGGCTACACAGTAAATAGTTGAGTCCCTATGTAAGTTACAAGGCTACACGGTAGATAGTTGAGTCCCTATGCAAGTTACAAGGCTACACGGTAGATGGTTGAGTCCCTATGTAAGTTACAGGGCTACATGGTAGATAGTTGAGTCCCTATGTAAGTTACAGGGCTACACGGTAGATAGTTGAGTCCCTATGTAAGTTACAGGGATACATGGTAGATAGTTGAGTCCCTCTGTAAGTTACAGGGCTACACGGTAGATAGTTGAGTCCCTATGTAAGTTACAGGGCTACATGGTAGATAGTTGAGTCCCTATGTAAGTTACAGGGATACATGGTAGATAGTTGAGTCCCTATGTAAGTTACAGGGATACAGAAAGTATGTATTTCCTTTATTTTAAGTTAAGGACTACAGGAGAGAGTGTGACTCTCTCTAAGCAAATTTTAGGGCTATTTACTGGGAATAATGTTGACTCCCATATGTATGTTACAGGAGAAAGTTTCGACTCACTTAATGTTAGTTACAGGATTATAGCTGAGAGTTTTGACTCCATAATGTGTGAGACATGGTTAGATGAGAAAGTATTGACTCCATGTAAGTTAAAGGCTTGACTCTCTAATAGAAGTTACAGCATTAAAGCTTAGAGATTTGACTCCCTAATGTATATTACAGGGTTTCAAGAGAAAGTATTGACTCCATATAAGTTACATTGTTATAGGAGAAAGTTTTGAGAGAATGTTGACTTTCATATGTATGTGACAGGGTTAAAGGGAAAAGTGTTGATTCACAATGCAAGATACAGGGCTATAGGTAAGAATTTTGACTCCCAAATATATTTTTACAGGGTTATGATAGAAATATTGATCTGCTTGATGTAAGTTACAGGGTTACAGGTGAGAGAACTGAGTCCCTTCTGTATGTTACAAACTAGAAAAAGGTCGTTATATGTTGCAGAAAATATGAAATCGTTTGCTGCACACAAAAAATTAGATACATTTCGAGAAAAAGTTTTGTATGTGCAGTTTGATAAAAACAGGAAATATTGTGAAGACATGGATTTGATTATTTGTTATCACTTAAGATACCTATCAGGGAATCTCTACATATAGATGTGATCACCCTCAGCTACAGAAGCGGACAACAGGGTAACAACAGTATTATGACAATATAATAGGGTTTTGAAGATCGCTCAACAGCAACTCAAAAAGCAGGTGTTTTATGACCTTAACTGTCATCATATGACCTTGGGTGTTATCAAATGACCTTAGCTGTCACCAAATGACCTTAATTGTCATATGATCTTAGAGGTCATCATATGACCTTATGACTTTATCTGTCATCATATGACCTGATGACCTTATCTGTCTTCATATGACCTTTTGACCTTAGCTGTCATCATATGACCTTTTGACCTTAGCTGTCATCATATGACCTTATGATCTTAGCTGTCATCTTATGACCTTATGACCTTATCTGTCTTCATATGACCTTTTGACCTTAGCTGCCATCATATGACCTTATGATCTTAGCTGTCATCATATGACCTTATGACCTTAGCTGTCATCATATGACCTTATGACCTTAGCTGTCATCATATGACCTTATGACCTTAGCTGCTATCATATGATCTTATGATCTTAGCTGTCATCATCTGACTTTATGACCTTAGCTGCTATCATATGATCTTATGATCTTAGCTGTCATCATATGACCTTATGACCTTATCTGTCATCATATGACCTTATGATCTTAGTTGTCATCATATGACCTTATGACCTTATCTGTCATCATATAACCTTATGATCTTAGCTGTCATCATATGACCTTATGATCTTAGCTGCCATCATATGACCTAAGTGTTGGATTATGCTTTATGATTACCATTTATCCTTGTTTCAAAGAGAAACAAATGAACAAACCAGCTGTCTGATTGAGAATGAGTTCATACTCCTGTTTTTTATCATTATACTAGTGCTCATGTTAATTGAACTGGGGTAAAGCACTTAGGCCTGGTCAGTATGTATCGTAGTTCAGGTCTGTTTACCATCAATGGAAAACAGATGTAATCAATTCTTGTTTCATTTTTATGCTATTTTTATATGGCTTCTCTTGATGGGCTGTGTTATATATTCATAACAGTTTCATAGGTTGTGTGATTTAGCTCCTTTTGAAGCTCCTGGCTTCCTGTTTGTATTAGACTACTGAGTCCTGTATACAAGCCTTGTGAAACAGCCTCTTTGGCTGGTTGTGTGAAACGGCCTCCTTGGCTGGTTGTGTCTTCAGATGTTTATCCAGAATGGCTGCAGTGGTCAGTCAAACTAATCACCAAGGCTGTATTTCTGGTCACACACATGTGTCATTGAGAATGATGATCTACAGGCCTAGCTTTAAGGTAGACATAATAAGATAACTTTGTGTATTATGTAGAATCACAATGAGTTATAACTCTACCACAATCCCTTCAGGGAGGGAATAGAGGAATCGGGCATAATTGTCCTTAAGTTGTAGTAACAGATGACACTGGATCACCAACTCTGTAAATTTCATTAATCAGTCCCTCACCTGTCTGGGTCATTGATAATATATTGATCAGTAGAGTTTCCCTCACCTGTCTGGACCATTGATAATATATTGATCAGTAGAGTTTCCCTCACCTGTCTGGACCATTGATAATATATTGATCGGTAGAGTTTCCCTCAGCTGTCTGGGTCATTGAAAATATATTGATCAGTAGAGTTTCCCTCACCTGTCTGGGTCGTTGATAATATATTGATCAGTAGAGTTTCCCTCACCTGTCTGGACCATTGAAAATATATTGATCAGTAGAGTTTCCTCAGCTCTCTGGGCCATTGATAATATATTGATCAGTAGAGTTTCCCTCACCTGTCTGGACCATTGAAAATATATTGATCAGTAGAGTTTCCTCAGCTCTCTGGGCCATTGATAATATATTGATCAGTACAGTTTCCCTCACCTGTCTGGACCATTGAAAATATATTGATCATTAGAGTTTCCTCAGCTCTCTGGGCCATTGATAATATATTGATCAGTACAGTTTCCCTCACCTGTCTGGACCATTGATAATATATTGATCAGTAGAGTTTCCTCAGCTCTCTGGGCCATTGATAATATATTGATCAGTAGAGTTTCCCTCACCTGTCTGGACCATTGAAAATATATTGATCAGTAGAGTTTCCTCAGCTCTCTGGGCCATTGATAATATATTGATCAGTACAGTTTCCCTCACCTGTCTGGACCATTGATAATATATTGATCAGTAGAGTTTCCTCAGCTCTCTGGGCCATTGATAATATATTGATCAGTAGAGTTCTCCTCACCTGTCTGGACCATTGATAATATATTGATCAGTAGAGTTTCCCTCACCTGTCTGGACCATTGATAATATATTGATCAGTAGAGTTTCCCTCAGCTATCTCATTGATAATATATTGATCTGGTTTCCCTCACCTGTCCATTGATAATATATTGATCAGTAGAGTTCTCCTCACCTGTCTGGACCATTGATAATATATTGATCAGTAGAGTTTCCCTCACCTGTCTGGACCATTGATAATATATTGATCAGTAGAGTTTCCCTCAGCTATCTGGGTCATTGATAATATATTGATCAGTAGAGTTTCCCTCACCTGTCTGGGTCGTTGATAATATATTGATCAGTAGAGTTTCCCTCACCTGTCTGGACCATTGATAATATATTGATCAGTAGAGTTTCCCTCACCTGTCTGGACCATTGATAATATATTGATCAGTAGAGTTTCCCTCACCTGTCTGGACCATTGATAATATATTGATCAGTAGAGTTTCCCTCACCTGTCTGGACCATTGATAATATATTGATCAGTAGAGTTTCCCTCACCTGTCTGGACCATTGATAATATATTGATCAGTAGAGTTTCCCTCACCTGTCTGGACCATTGATAATATATTGATCAGTAGAGTTTCCCTCACCTGTCTGGACCATTGATAATATATTGATCAGTAGAGTTTCCCTCACCTGTCTGGGTCATTGATAATATATTGATCAGTAGAGTTTCCCTCACCTGTCTCATTGATAATATATTGATCAGTAGAGTTTCCCTCACCTGTCTGGGTCATTGATATATATTGATCAGTAGAGTTTCCCTCACCTGTCTGGGTCATTGATAATATATTGATCAGTACAGTTTCCCTCAGCTGTCTGGGTCATTGATAATATATTGATCAGTACAGTTTCCCTCACCTGTCTGGACCATTGATAATATATTGATCAGTAGAGTTTCCCTCACCTGTCTGGGTCATTGATAATATATTGATCAGTACAGTTTCCCTCACCTGTCTGGACCATTGATAATATATTGATCAGTAGAGTTTCCCTCACCTGTCTGGACC